CACATACAAATCATTGATCAGCTCTATAACTCTTTCCAAATAGAGTTCACTAACATTTGGCTGGTTGAGGCCCTCAGTGGTAATTTGGAACAGGGATTGCCAAAATTTATCCAACAACAACTGATAGATTTCCGAAGTTGTATGCTGCCGATCGAAAAATGCCACCAGGGTACAGGCATTTTGAAAAATATATCTTGAGGATATACTATTCGGGCTGCTGAGACACACCATTAATGGTTGCATGACATTTTCCTGTAACAAATACTCAAGAAGTTCCCGATTCGTATTAGAAGAGTCCGACGTTTGTTCTTTGGAAGCATTGTTGATTTTTTGATTTATATATCGCAGACATTCAAAATAGGTTTTGATGATCATGATGTTATCCTGCTTTGATATTTGGGAAGATTCGCTGACAATCACACCCTTGAGGTTGTCAAAGAACTGTTTAATGAAGTTATGGTATTCTTCAATATCTTGGGTAACATGGGAAAGTTGGGAGAAGAAGGGTAAGACGTTGGGGCAAATGGCTTGGGCATTGCGATTGAAGGCATTTCTCAGTAAATGACCAAATTTGGGCCAGACTTTTTCACGGAAATCAATTGTTTGGGGCCTGAAAACCACAACGACAAGGAATTAACATTGGGTAAATCTAGAAGACCATTTAACATACCAATCTTGGAAATTTGCCTGAATCAACAAAATACAACCCCAGACATGGGGTGCAACCAACGGATCGGATTCATCAATGTTTTGGAATGCCACAGTGGTGACCTGGGTTTTGTGCTGTTCAACAATTTCCAAAAGCTGCGGGCTCTGTAGTAAATGATAGATGAACTCAAACCAGGCAGCCCTAGAAGAAAGCAATGAATAACAATTAAAAAAACATAAACAATCTCCCAACACAACTTACTTTATGGCATTCAGCTTATTCTTGGCAAAGCTGAAAAATTTCTGATGTTCCAACAACTTTGCCAGCAATTCCTTGATCTTACTTTGATCTTCCGCCTTTTGAGAGTGTTCCACAAAAAAGGACAACTCCTTGAGGCTGCAAACAACAACACGTTGATATTTCTGCTCGGCTTCTTCGGGTGTTAAACTTTTGCCCGTTGACAACGTTGCCGCTGTGTGAAATGTCAAATTCCTGCTGGCATAATCAATAATATCCACTTGGCAATGTAGACAAACATCTGTCAGTTTTGAGGAGAATGTCTCATTAAAACAACTACTCGCCATACTGGCTGCCGGTGCATAATTATCATATTGACTGGCCAGCCAGACTGGTACCAATTGCTTCAAATATGGAGCTATTGCTTTTTTACATTTTGTGACGAGAATTTGTAGAACGGTCTGCGTTAACTCCCTCACTGAATGCTCTGGATCTGTGGCCAAATTTTGATAGAATTTTGGCCATAATGGTAATATGGTTTTCAGCTCATCCATATCAGATTGATTGATTAAATCAATGAATTCTTGCAGGGCCTTTTTCTTTGTCATTGGATCTTTTTTGGACAGCTTCTTTAGGGTCAATTGGTATGGTGTCGAAATGCTGGCATCAAAGGTTTCGGGCATTTGTTCAGCTGCCGCTCCAAAGCCGGGTACAAATGGTATCAAACCCAAATCCGAATGGGCTGAAAAGCCCACAAACACGGGCTGGGTTGTACCCAATAATTCCGCACTACGTGCCGAACTGGATGGCTGAAAAAAGATAATGTAATTTTTTTTTGTACTAAAGACTTTCATGGTGAAATTGAAATCTCGGGAGAGTGAGATTTTGCTATTTTGGCATCGGGACCGTCTGTCTGGTTTCACTGCTCTCCCCATTCACTAATTAGCTTGGTCACATTCCATACCTTCACGTTATTCTTGGTTCTTTGTGCATGCTTAGTTTTGCCACCCATGTCTAGTGCTTGCTTTTTATGCGATTTATTTTTCTATCTTAAACAAATGCCAAAGCTCCAGCAAGTTGACAAAATAAAGGGAAAACGACGGCAGCATTCGAGTGCGGCTCTGATGTTTCCCTTTATAATATGTGAATCATGGCGCAATAACAAGGTGTTCATGCAAATTTTAAAAACCAGATGAAATGTCAAAATTTTGTTTACAATTCTTTGGCTATTTGTTTATATTTTTCTGTGATTTCAGTCACAAGAATGGATTTTGACATTACATTTGGTAGTCAGTTGGTTTGGCAGTGAGAACTTAAGGGCTATGTACATAAGAAGCTTGAAGTCATGGCTAGGCATATTTTGTGACATTTCACAAAGGGATTACAGAGCCGCACTAAAATCCAGCCGTCGTTTTCCATTATAATTTGACATTAATATGCCTAGCCATGACTTCAAGCTTCTTATGTAAATAGCCCTTTATAGTGTCAGGCCGACAAGACCAGCTGATTTAACTCGTGTTGTTAAAATGCATGTCAGGCCATTGTGCAGCTTGCAGCAGCTTGAAGTCGTGGCATATTAAGAGATGTAATGAAATATCAAAGCCGCACTCGAAACCTGCCGCCGTTTACACTGTTAATTTGACGTACGACGCACGGACACGTTTGGACGTTTTGTTATCGCCGTGTTTCGATATTTTCTTAGCGATATGGCATCTCTGAAAATAAAGAATCATTGTGTGAGACATGCGAGCGATAAAGATGAAGAATCAAAATAAACGGGACACAAATTGTGGAGAACAATAACAAAAAAGAGAGAAAGAGGGAGAGAGAGATGCCGCTTGGAGAAGGGTTCTAAAATGTGAATAAAAAACCTGGGCAAAGTAGGGTTACACAGGTCGAATAAATGTCAAATTACTAACCAGCGTAATGCTAGGAACACAATTGGAGCGAACGACGAATTTCGCCCTACGCGGCGACAAAATGAGCCGCGAAAATTCGTCGTATGGAACACAATACCGACGAAATTATAAAACAGCTGATGAAGCTGTTTACTTTTTGCTCATTTGTTGACTACAATGAATTATACAAGAACACATAATTCTTTACGTTCTCTATTATAATTTCACTTATGTCCATCTTCTCTATTATAAAATCACTGATATCCATCTTCACTCAGGCGCAAGTACACAAATAAATAAACAAATTAATTATGTTTTTTTTTATACGAGTAACAGATAGTAGAGTGACCATAACAAATTTTAAAGTAAAAAGTAACTTTATTTACTAAAACACATAAAAATCGTACAAGTATGGCCACCTTGTACTGTTTTGTTCGCCGGTCGCCGGCGTATGAAATAGAAATAAAGCTAATTGAGTTCGCGGCGACCGACGAAATTTTCGCCGGTGCCGTGATTGTGTGCACTTCCATATACACATATGTGTTTTATTTTTGACGACGAACATTCGCCGCGAAAAAATTCGTCGTTCGCTCCAATTGTGTTCCTAGCATAATTTAGTCGTACAGCTCTGAGATAGTAAAACAAAACAATTTATTTTTATTTATTTTTTATTTTTATTTATTTCAAAAAAATCAATACATAGAAAGCTTCCTAGCCAATTATACATGTATTGGAGATTACTATAAAAATAAATGCTAATACTGTGGTAGTAATTATCATAATAATACAAAAACAGTTTGTTTACTTTTAATAGCTAAAAATTCAATGAACAAGAATAAACGGCTCCCCAGCCATATGAATATTGAAAGTTAAATAAATGTTACAAGATTTAGGTCCTATAGCAAAGACATATGTAAATGAAAACAAAAAGACTTATAAATTATGTCCACTATTTACAAAACTTTTCAACTTTTTTTTGAAGGTGAAGTAGGAAAACGAGAACCTTCTCAAAGGAGTTGGTAAAGGGTTCCATACTCTGTAGACCCGATTAATTGCCTATTAACACCGAAAATCATGACAAAACAATAAAGGAAAACTCATTTGCCCTCATATACCCTCTAAAAGGCGTGATAATCAAAAAAAAAATATTTTTTTGGAAAATAAATGTAAATTTCTTACCAACTTAAGGAAGAATTACAAAATATACATTTGACAATGAAGGGACAAAAAATAAAAAAATTGTTATCGTATGATAGCATGAGATTACCTTGGTAATTGTACCATGCCGAAAATACGCAATACGACTGTAACTGAATTTGAATACTTTCAAATTATTTTATTTTTTTATTCAAAACAATACATACATGTTTTGTCAGAATAGGGGCGCCAAAAGAAAAAAATGTATTTAGAAGGTAGATTTGTTCTACCTTCTGTAATTGTGGCATGGGTACAACCCAGCTTGTATTTGTTGGTTTTCCAGCCCATCCCGAATTGGAATAGATACCACTTAAGGTGACAACGAAGCCGGCCGTTTACTTAAGCCAGCCAAAGAAGCGTTTTATGCATTCTCACCTTTAGAGCGGAAGTTCAATAAATACCCGAAACCTTTGATGCCAGCATTTCAGGCCGAATAATTAGACATTTCCCCACAATTACTTTGCCGTAATTTGATTAAAAGTACTTGCCTGGGATAAGCAACAAAATAGACCGATCTGAGCATAGCGCATAAACTTAGCATAAGCCCACATTTTGCCTGAAGCCCCGTTGCCGTACCCATAGTAAAAATAGTTTACTTCTCCCCAAACAAGAATGACGCTATCTTCTACAATTTATATCCTCTTTCCTATAAACAGAAAATTTGGTATTTCATTCAATTTAATGTCAAATATAAGTATATTTTTATATGTTTTCTTATATTACGTCATTCGGAAGCTATTATATTTCGCGTTTTTCAACAATCTTTACAAATTTAAATAATTTTTCATTCAATATTTTCAATTCCAAAATTGGTTTGACAGTTCATTGTCCCAGCAGCTGTGTCGACGCGTCTACCTATATTCTTCTACCATGCAGCTCATTGTACCAGAAGCTTTTTTGATGCGCCTACCTGTAGCATTTTATCACGGTCAATCCACTCCTTTGGGGATAACTTTTTCTACCACCTAATTTCCCAAAACACACTTAGTGCACCCTATGTCTTTTCGACTTTTTCGTACCTTGTGATTCCTAACAGTTGTAAACAAAAACACGTGCAACACTGTTCGTTAGCTTCTTTTCTCTTGTTTTCCATTGGAATTTTCTTGAAAATATGACAAAATTCATTACCTATTTCAATTTGTGTCCCATACCAGAGCCCAAGGATTTCTTGGGCATATCTCCGGATAAAGATGAAGGCAATATTATAACCACATTGGGCAAAAACATTATTATTGTTATCAAGGTAAGATGAGTGGAATGGCCTCAGATTGTTTTTTTTTATCGAATAATGAATGAAAATTTTTAATTTCTTATAGATTTCCACACAAAAACAAATACGCAGCTGGTCGGTCTTGGAAAAGTTATCATCAAAGGTGGTCTACGATAAGAAATCGGAGAAATATGTTGGGGTATTTGGTAGCAAATACCTGAGATGTTGGGATGAAGGGACGACAGATGTAAACAAATGCAAGAAATTGAAGGTGAGATGCACATAGCTATAGCTTATTACTAAATATTCTAATGGCCTTCTTTTAGTTCCAAAAATACATTACAAATTTGGTTAGCTGCGGTGATGACACTTTTGTGCTCTACGTTGATGGCTCTTGTGAACTGTTGGCCAAAGCATTAGAATCACGCAAAGAAGATGCTAATATTACCACGGCCCAGCAATTGGAATTATCGAACAAGTTAAGTTTTAGCAATGCCAGCGTTTTTGTTTTGGCCAATGGCTCAAAGATATTGACATATTTCGAAAGAAACAGTTTAAATGGAGATTACTACTTGGTACGTTTACCATTGTCCGAAAATGGTGCTGAGCTCGAAGCACCAAAACGCTTCAAACTGTCGAGAGAAAATTTAAGTGTAACTGTTGCTGGTGCGGCCGTAATTGAAGGTGGAGGTGTACCAGCGTTATTGACAATATGTGAGTAGTACTCCATCTGGTATGAGAATTCATAGGACTTTTTTTATTTAAATTTGAATTCTTTCTAGGGTCCGATAAACGCATGTTTATATTAAACCTATCTGATGATGTTTGCCCAGAACGTTCCCCGGGAAATTTCGTCTCCGTACTAACGCAACTGAAAGTGGACAGTCCGCTGTCTGTAATGGGCATATCGAAACATTTTGTGGCCATTTATGGTGCCAATCATGGCCAGGAGGGTGCCTCACTTTTGCTCTACAACACCCAGTTTAAGGTGATCAAGACAAAACAGTTCTTCAAGGTCTACTTTAACTATTCCAAGTTGTGGTCGGTCAATGATCATATTATACTGGCCATGGGACAAAATCTTTCGGTGGTGAAATATCAAGTTCTCAAAGAAGTCTTGTCGGAATTGGTGGGCACCCAGGTGTCAAACGATTATCAAACGTCCATAGAAATCGATCATATCAATGAGGAAGACATGATGGAAGAGTGTTTACAGTACAGCAAAGATTTTCAAACACAAAATAGCAATGAAGTTGCGGATGCAGATGCCGATGAAGCTGGAAAACCTTTAAAAATTCAAGAAGCCGATGGTCTGACAATTCCCTATATGGGTGTACAAGATTTTGACAAAGAATTAAATGCTTTACGACAATTACACTTGCATGTTGATGTGGTTAATGATAGCCAATTGGATGCTGTCCACATCAATTTGATGTCAAATCACAATGATGCTGGTTTCTCGTGTTCGGAAATACAATTGATTGCCCAACAATTGGAACGTGTGGGTGCTAGCGAACATGAAATAAGTGAAAAACTTTTAACTGTCCTCATGAAAGCAAATCTACTGAAAGATATTGGTGTGTGTTTAAGACGTTACACAAACATATCCGAGAAGATATTGTCGAAAACGTTAAATTACATTTTAAAGAGATACAGTAGTGCCTCAGGAGAAAGCAATGAAAAAGGGACCAAAGTAAATGGAATTGCACAAGAAGAACATATGGAAACGGAAGGTATTCTATCACGAAAGCCCTCCGCGTCGGGCAACACTTCCGAAATCCAAGATATCCTCAATACACTTTTGGCGTGTTCCTTTGATGCCGAGACAATTGCCAAGTGTATACGCCAAGATATGGAATATAAAGAGGTGGTTATTATATTGGAACATCTTTATAATATGATTACATCGGACGACATGTACCTGGAAGAACGTCCGGCATTGTATGAGACAAGTACAGAATATGAATTACAATTATTGCGTTGGTTCGGCGTATTCTTGAATTCCCATTTCCAAAAGTTGGCCCTCTCCAAAGAAGTAGCTTTGATTGAATTACTCTTCAAATGGCATGAACTATTCCAAAGCTATAGACAAGAAATCGTGGAATTGCAAAACGTTGCAGCGCTACTCCATAATGTTGTGGAACGTAGGACAGTGGCAAAAGAGAAAAGTTCTTCGAAATGGTATTCCATAGAAGAGGTTTATTTGTTTTAAAAAAATAAAGTACGTTGTTAAATACAAGAGGAGTTTTTAAATTTCCATTTTAGTACGGGTGAAAGAGGACATTATGGCTAGCTGGCAAGATCTCTTCCTAGTTACTCATTGAATTTGAAAGGGAGAACTGTGCCATGCAACGAAAAATCATAAACTGAGTTTTCAATGAGATGCTCTGTTGCAGAATTGAATGGAAAAACTGCTAATTTTATTTGGAAAAATGTAAACATCTTCAGTGCCATGGAGTGTAGAATCAGGACCACTCTTCAAAGCTGCTAATTTGACATGGGCAGATTCAAACATCTTCGGTTTTATGGAGTATTTGACAATCTTTTCCCAGTATTTTTTTTTCTTTAAATCAACTGCGCCTTAACATATGCAACATATTATGATACAATAATTCTTAATTGTTTTATTTCCGCGATCCTGAAAATATGCTTTGAATAAGGGCGTAGGAAAAACAAGTTACATTTTACTTTTAGCCAGTTGATATTTTGGATGAGTTTAATTTAAGATTGGAATTTCATGAAAATGCTCATATGATAGAGGCAATTAATAGTCAGAGAAACTTTGGGTTGTCAAACACACAGTATCTCTCTCCTTTGGGGTTTTCAAATGAGGATCAGGCAGGCATTACCTGCTTTTATGAAAAGGCGCTTGCCGGGACTCATCGTGGGTAGCTATTGCGTACCTTTTTATTATTTTTTTATTATTATTGTTGTTATTTTATTGTATTGTTATTTTTATACCCTACAACACTAGGTGTTGGGGGTATTATAAGTTTGATTGGGCCAAAAATTATGTAACACCTCGAAATATTGGTTTCCCACATAGGAAAGTATATATGGATCTTCCTAGCTCGCCGAGCTGAGTCGATTTAGCTATGTATGTCCGTCCGTCTGTCTGTCCGTCTGTCCATGTTAATTTGTAATCACTCTACAGGTCGCAATTATGGCCCGATCTTCACGAAATTTAGAATGTAGGTGGGGCTTGGACCAGAATAGAACCCTATTGCTTTTGGAGATGATCGCCAAATGTTTAGGGGTTAAAATGGACCAAATACTGAAAAAATGTCGGATTTTGCAGTAGCTATACAGGTCGCAATTATAGACCAATCGACGCGAAATTTCGCATGTAGATAGAGTTTAGGGGTAGGAAGAAGCCTACTAATTTGGGTGGTCATCGGATAATATTTGGCGGGTAAAGTAGACCATATCTTTTGTGTTGAAAAAAATCAAAATTTTTCATTAATATGTACGATATATATGTCTATCAAAGAAGATATGCTTGAAAGATCTCTTATATGTCGAGAACGGCTGAACTGATTTCGACGGTTCTCATTAATTCAGAATGGCCTCTTGACAGGAAAGAAAAAACGACTAAAAAATTCGCAAAAAAATATCTCTCTAAAGATGAAAATTTTGATTTTGTAACATTTTCTCATATTTTTTCAATTTTGTCATATTTTTGGCATATTTTCATTTTGAATTAAACATTTGGTAATATTTCTACAGCTAACAAAACTTAGTAGTTAGGATATCAGGATATCATACACAGATCGCATTTACGATCCTTACGAAATTTTGCATGGGGATAAGATGAGGGTTAGAATAGAAGCCTACTCTTTTTGGAGATGATCGCCATATATTTAGGGGTTGAAATGGACCAAAAACTGCAAATTGTCAGCAGGTCGTAATTTGAATGGGGGTTACCGCACATTGCAAAAGCCAAGCAGTTTCGGATGGCCATCCAAAAATATTCAATGTGTGAAATAGTTTGCCAACTTTTGTAGACAAAATACGAAAATGTCCATTCCAGTGACTTTTTGGAGAATTCACAAATACAGGAAAGACGCACTTCCGACTATTTCGTTAACGCTGATTTCGTTGAAGAATATAGTCAAATTTCTGTATCTCATATAGATGCGTTTTAGTCAAAAACCAATAATGAATGTTAATCTTTTGCCACTTCTGAGAGATTATATGTCTTTGGGAAATATTGGTTCCAGATCTAGGAAGACCATTTACGTGCAACATCTACCAATAAATTGGAAATGAGCAAATTAGTTTAAGTTGCTATTATTCGAAAATTAGAGAACGAAACCTGATGGTTTTCTTTTATTATTTGTCACAATATCTTGTGGAATTCTTTCGAGTATCTCGCCTATATAAACTGTATCGTTTATTATAGTGTTGTAGGGTATTCAACGGTCGGCCCCGCTCGACTGTAGCCTTTGCTTACTTGTTTTGTTTTGTTTTTATTTTTAGATTTAAGTTTTAGTTTTAAGTTTTAAACCCTAGATTTAAGATTTTCTCTTTTATGTAAAAGTCCCGGGAGCAAGGGCGTCCATTAACACACCAGATGTTTACATTTTATTGTCGTTTTATTAAATAAAGCATGATGCTGTATAACTTTTCTTGACATTAGGATAATACATTATAGTCTTAAGGATTCCTTTTTATTGTTTTTTAATTGTAATCTTATTGATAAAAAAAGACTCAATAAAATTTAACTTAACTTACTTTTAGCCAGGAACAATTATCTATGTAAAACGTTTGGAAAAAGTTCTGAAATTAAACCACTGAAAAAGAAGCCAGTTAGAAATAGAATGTGTCTGAGGTATTCTGTGGTCAATTTAAGACCCATTAGCTGGACTCAATTGCCAATAAAAAGACATTTAATGTTTTAAAGATTTTCCAATAAAGAAGGCCCCTTAAAAGGTTTATATGTGGTCAATAAAGGGCCATTGGAAGGGCTATGGTAAAAAAAGGCTAGTAGGTCAATAGTATATTCTTCATTTATATATGTGTTTTTATACCCTCCATACTATGGTGGGTATACCCTCCATATATTAAGTTTGTCCTTCCGTTTGTAACGCCTTGAAATATACATTTTAGACCCCACAAAGTATATACATATATTCCTGCTCAGCTTCAAATTCTATGACGATTTAGCGATGTTCGTCCGCCTGTCCGTATGTGGACATCCCTCTAGCTTCCGAACGAAATGAAGTAGGTTGATAGAATTTTACTCAAATGTATATTATGTCTGCAGGACTTTTGATATTGAAAATGGACCATGTAGGTTCACCTTTAGGTATAGCCCCTATATAATGATACCTCCCGATATTCGGTTTTTGATGATTTAAGCGATATTATTCAGCGGAACTGTTTCAAATTTGGTATTTGAAGTTCGTAATGGATACTACAGCCTATGCCTAAAAATTTCGTATGTAGGTCTACGTTTTGATATAGCCCCCATAAAATGGTACCTCTCTATTTTTGGAATTTTGATGATTTTAGCGACATTATTCACCGGAGTGGTTTCAAATTTGGTATTTGAAGTTCGCAATGGGTACTACAGCCTATGACAGAAAATTGTCTGTGCAAGTTCACGTCTTCGTATAGCTCTGATATAATGGTACCTCCATGTAGTGTATTTTGATGATTTTAGCGACATTATTTACCGGAAATGTTTCAAATTTGGCATTTGAAGTTTGTAATGGATACTGCAGCCTAAGACAGATAATTGTCTGTGCAGGTGTTCGTCTTCGTATAGCCCTCATATAACGGTACCTCCCTATTTTCGATATTTTGATGATTTTAGCGACATTATTCACCTGAATTGTTACAAATTTGGTATTTGAAGTTCGTAATGGATACAACAGCCTATGACAGAAAATTGTGTGTGCAGGTCCACGCCTTCGTATAGCCCCATATTATGGTACCTCCCTATATTCGGTATTTTGATGATTTTAGCGACATTATTCACCGGAATTGTTTCTAATTTGGTATTTGAAGTTTGTAATGGATATTACAGCCTATGAGAGAAAATTGTTTGTTCAGATCTACGTCTTCGTATAGCCCTCATATAAAGGTACCTCCCGATATTAGGTATTTTGATGATTTTAGAGACATTATTCACCGGAATTGATTCAAATTTGGAATTTGAAGTTCGCAATGGATACTACAGCCTATGACAGAAAGTTGTCTGTGCAAGTCCATATCTTCGTATAGCCCCCCCTATAATGGTACCTGCCTATTTTCGGTATTTTGGTGATTTCAGCGACATTATTCACCGGAATTGTTTCAAATTTTGTTTTTGAAGTCAGTAATGGATACTACAGCCTAAGACAGAAAATTGTCTGTGCAAGCCCATGTCTTCATATAGCCCCCATATAACGATACCTCCCGATATTCGATATATTGATGATTTTAGCCACATTATTCACCGAAATTGTTTCAAATTTCGTATTCGAAGTTCGTAATGGGTACTACAACCTAAGACAGAAAATTGTCTGTGCAAGTCCACGTCTTCGTATAGCCCTCATATAACGGTACCTCTCGATATTCGGTATTTTGATGATTTTAACGACATTATTTACCGGAATTGTTTCAAATTTCGTATTTGAAGTTCCTAATGGATACTACAGCCCATGACAGAAAATTGTCTGTGTAGGTCTACGTCTTCGTATAGCCCCCATATAATAGTACCTCCATATTTTCGGTATTTTGGTGATTTAACCGACATTATTCACCGGAATTGTTTCTAATTTGGTATTTGAAGTTTGTAATGGATATTACAGCCTATGAGAAAAAATTGTTTGTTCAGGTCTACGTCTTCGAATAGCCCCCATATAAAGGTACCTCCCGATATTAGGTATTTTGATGATTTTAGCGACATTCTTTACCGGAAATGTTTCAAATTTGGTATTTGTAGTTCGTAATGGATACTACAGCCTATGACAGAAAATTGTCTGTGGAGGTCCACGTTTTGGCATAGCCTCCATATAGAATTTTTAACGGATTTTATAATAAAGAAATACAAAGAAGCCAATAGAATTGTTAAAGCCTATCTCCTAAAAAATACCTTGACCACTCAAAGAAAAAAGACTCATTCGAGCCTCCAAGAAAAAAAAATGGTTCAACTCACGCCTGAAACCAAAACAAATACTGTTTCAATATTCCAATTATAAAACCCTGCCGTTTCTTCTACCTGTGCTGGGAGACGACGGAGAGACAGTCGTT